TCTAATCTGTCAAGATCGTTTTGAATTCTGCTCCTGTTCTCTGGAGTATTGGCTATCCCTCCCAATTTGGTGGTGTCTGCGAACTTGATGATCATGCCTTCTAAGCCTTCATCTAAAGTTATTGAACAGGACCGGGCCCAGGACGGCACCCAGGTTGTGGCACTCCACTTGTCACTTCTTTCCAGGATGAAGAGGAAGCATTGGGGAGAATCTCCCTCTGGGTTCGTCCACTTAACCAATTACAGATCCACCTCACCGTAGTTTTGCCTAGCCCACATTGGACTAGTTTCCTTGCCAGAAGGTCATGGGGGACCTTTTCGAAGGCCTTACTGAAATCCAGGTACGCTACATCCACGGCATTCCCCGCATCTACCCAGCTTGTAGCTCTATCGAAGAAAGAGATCAGATTAGTCTGGCATGACTTGTTTTTGATAAATCCATGTTGACTATTAGCGATGACCGCATTTGTTTCTAAGTGTTTGCAGACCGCTTCCTTAACAATCTTTTCCAGAATCTTGCCTGGTATCGACGTGAGGCTGACCGGACGGTAGTTGTTTGGGTCATCCTTTTTTCCCATCTTGAAGATTGGGACCACATTGGCCCTCCTCCAATCTGCTGGAACTTCTCCAAGAACTCTCAAAGATGATTGCCAATGGTTCCGAGATGACTACTACTAGTCCCTTCAATACTCTTGGGTGTAGTTGATCTGGCCCTGGGAACTTGAACTCATTTAGAGCGGCCAGGTATTCCTGGACGACTTGTTTCCCAATTTGGGGTTGGATGTCCTCTAATCCCTCACCCATTCCATCTTGCTGAGGTTGAAGATGACTTTCTTTTTGTGAGAAGACCGAGGCAAAGAAGGCATTCAGTAGTTCTGCCTTTTCCCTATCCCCGGTCAGCATTGCCCCATCTTCTCCTCGAAGAGGCCATTTGTTTGTAAACTTCCTCCTTGATCAAATCGCTGGCATTTTTCTGGCATTTCCTTATGGGTGCCTTAATACCTAATAATACCTAATATGTATGTGTGTGTGTATATGTGTGTATGCATGTGGAACTCTCTGCCCCGCAGTGTAGTGGAGGCTCCTTCTTTGGAAGCTTTTAAACAGAGGCTGGATGGCCATCTGTCAGGGGTGCTTTCGCCTCTACCAATCTCACAAGCTCGTCTTGTGGGCACAAGGGAGAGAGCCTTCTCTTCTGTGGCCCCCAGGCATTGGAACTATTTACATGGGGAAAGCCCCTTCACTGGAAACATTTAAAAAGGACCTCAAAACCTAGCTTTTCCATTGCGCCTTTGGCGAGTAGGTACTCAGTATGATTTTTTATACCCCCTCAACATTTTTGGCTGAGTTCGTGCCCTCCACTGCAACCCCCACAAATGACAGACCTGGATCAAACTTGGAACACAACCCCCCTATGACCCACTCATGTCCTGTAGAAGTTTGGGGGAGGACGGACAATGGATTATGGGACTTGCAGTACTTTCACTCACTTCCTGAGACCACTGCAACCCACACCAATGACGGACCAGGACCAAACTTTGCACATTGAACCCCATGACCCTCTTTACATCCTGGTGTGGCTTCGGGGAGGATGGACCATGGATGATGGGATCTGCAATACCTTCACCCAATTCAGCTCCAATTTCAACAGACCACTGAGACCCGCACGAATGATGGATCTGGACCAAATAATAATAATAAAAAAACTTTATTTATAGTCCCCGGAGGGACTCAGGGCGGATTCCAAATATATTCAATGCCTGAATACAACAACAATGCATCCATATTAACAAAATGTAAACAACCCAACATATAAACACGAATTATGACTTAACAACTAACATTAAATTAAAAAACACAGCCTGTTATAACAGACATAAGACAAAACACTTGGCACACAAGTTCCCTATGACCAACAGAACATACTGGATAAGTTTGGGGAAAATTGACATTGACTTATGGGAGTTATAGTTCATTTGCATCCAGAGGAATTGCAACCCCCACCAACAGTAGACCGAGATCCAACTTGGCACAGAGAAGCCCCATGACCAACTGCAAATCCTGCAGGAGTTTATGGAAATTGACCTTAGTTTTCAGAATTGTAGTTCACCCTCATCCAGAGGGCACTGAACCCTGCCGATGTTGGATCTGGACCAAACTTGGCACACAGACCCGACATGACTGTGAATACAGGCAAGGTTTGGGAACGATTGCCCTGGGAATCTGGGAGTTGTAGTTCTTCTTTATCTAGAGACAACGGAACTCTACAAAACAAAAGCAAAAACTGTCTTTTTTCTAATAAATAGCATTACACATTACCAAACGGATATTATCAAACTTCCCAAAACAAACAACGATTGACCTTGGTATATGGGAGTTGTAGTTCACCCTTCTTCAGAAAGCACTGAACCCAGACAACAAATAACCCAGCCATCAAATACCCTTTTCAAATAATCCAAGCTAGTATAATATATAAAGCATAATAATATTATAATAATACTATAAAATAACATTTATGTTATAACATTATTATATTTTTATTTCACCCCAGAATTATTCTCTTGCCTTTTATAGATTGCTTGGGAACACCAATTGTCTATGCGCCAGTCAAAGCAGATTTATCTGGAAATATTAAGGTAATAAAATAAGTATTATTGTTGTTGTTGTTGTTATCATCATCGCCACCTAGTGGTCAATGCAAGCAATGGGATCTTATTTCAAATTAATATTATATTATTATTTTACTGACACAAAAACACACTATGTCACAGCAAATGAGAGATATATGCTGGAGTTATTATTATATTACATTATTGTTATTATTATCACCACCTAGTGGTGGTTGCAAACAATGGGGCCCTACTTTGAATTATTATTATTATTGTATTACATTATATTATTATATTATTAGTATTATTGCTATTATTATTCATGTCACCACCTAATGGTCAATGCAAAATTATTATTATTATTATTATTATTATTATTATTATTATTATTATTATTATTATATGACATGATATAGTATATATTATAATTTATTATTATCATTATTATCATTATCATTATTATTCCTATGGAGCCCCCAGTGGCGCAGTGGGTTAAACCCCTGTGCCGGCAGGACTGAAGACCGACAGGTTGTAGGTTCGAAAACGGGGAGAGGCAGATGAGCTCCCTCTATCAGCTCCAGCTCCTCATGCGGGGACATGAGAGAAGCCTCCCACAAGGATGATAAAAACATCAAATCATCCAGGCGTCCCCTGGGCAACGTCCTTGCAGACGGCCAATTCTCTCACAACAGGACGCTCCTGACACAACCAAATTATTATTCCTATCGCCACCTAGTGGTTGTTGCAAGCAATGGGATTCCATTTTGAATTATTATTATTAAATTACATTATATTATTTATATCCCCACCTAATGGTTGTCACAAGCAATGGGACCCTATTTTGAATGATAACTATTATTATTATTATCGTCGTCGTCGTCACCTAGTGTTCAATGCAAGCAATTTTGAATTATTGCATTATATATTACTGTTACTATTATTAATAATAATAATAATAATATCGCTACCTTGTCGTCAATGCAAGCAATCAAATATTAATTGCTTTGTATATTATATATTATTATTACTATTCTTATTTTATTATTATTTAAAATAATAATATTGCATTATATATTATATATTATTTTTATTGCCACCTATATTATTATTATTATTAAATATTATTATGCATGTCTCCACCTAATGGTTGATGTATGCAATGACACCCTGTTGTGAATCAAAATGTACTTTATTATTGATTTAGAATTGATTATTTTTTAAATATTTTTTAAATTTTAATTTTACATTTCGCCCAGCCATAGGTTTTAAATGCTTGTTGTGTTACTGTACTGCTTATATTTTATTTTATTTTTGTTTCTGAGATGTATTTTAACTGTTTTGTATTGTTTGTTTGCTATTGTTTTATTATTGATGTGTTGTGGGCTCGGCCTCATGTAAGCCGCACCGAGTCCCTTGGGGAGATGGTAGCAGGGTATAAATAAAGTTTATTATTATTATTATTCAATATTATTATATTATTATTAAATATTATTATTATTCCTACTGCCACCTTGTGGTTGATGCAAGCAATCACATCCTGTTGTGAATTATTATTATTATATTTCATTATTATAATACTATATTATTATTATTAAATATTATTCCTATTGTCCACTAGTAGTTAATGCAAGCAATGAAACCGTGGATTATTATTATTATGTTAGGTAAAGGTAGTCCCCTGACATTAAGTCCAGTCGTGTCTGACTCTGGGGTGTGGTGCTCATCTCCATTTCTAAGCCGTAGAGCCAGCGTTGTCCATAGACACCTCCAAGGTCATGTGGCCGGCATGAATGCATGGAACGCCGTTACCTTCCCGCCAGAGCGGTACCTATTGATCTACTCACATTTGCATGTTTTCGAACTACTAGGTTGGCAGAAGCTAGGGCTGACAGCGGAAGCTCACGCCGCTCCCCGGAATCGAACCTGCGACCTTTCGATCAACAAGCTCAGCAGCTCAGTGCTTTAACCCACTGTGCCACCGGGGGCTCCACTTATGTTACATCATCATTATTATTATTATTATTATTATTATTATTATTGTTTATCTTCCAGAAAATCCGTGCTGTGTACGAATCCAACCCGGCCAAGTTCAAGACGCTGCAGAACATTCTAGAAGTCGAGAAGGAGATGTACGGCTCCGCCTGGCCCAAAGTGGGCGGGACCTTGGCCCTCATGTGGCTAAAAAGGTCTGTCCTTCTAGGCAACTCTTATATTATTATACTTATTATAGATACTATGTTATTATTATTCTTATATTATATAGTTGAATATAATATGTTATAATATTTTAGATATTATTATTATTATTATATATTATTATTGTTATATACTATTGAATACAATGTATTATATTATTATATTTTATATTATATTTTTATATTATTATTCTATCTATTATATAGCATTGAATATATTATATTATTATAATATATATTTGTAATTTTATTATATATTATTGACTGTATATTATTGTATTATTATATTATATCCTAATATTTTATATTTATTTTATTTATCGGGTCAGGCAACCGAACAGTTGTATTACATTTTTGACAGAACAAACAAACAAACATACAAAAGACACAGAGTTTGCAAGCTTGGTAGTTGATTGAATGTCCTTTGACCAGTATCTGGCCACTTGGAGTGCTTCTGGTGTTGCCGCAAGAAGGTCCTCCATTGTGCATGTGGCAGGGCTCAAGTTGCATTGCAGCAGGTGGTCAGTGGTTTGCTCTTCTCCACACTCACATGTTGTGGATTCCACTTTGTAGCCCTATTTCTGAAGGTTGCCTCTGCATCTTGTGGTGCCAGAGCGCAGTCTGTTCAGCGCCTTCCAAGTCGCCCAGTCCTCTGTGTGTCCAGGGGGGAGTCTCTCATTTGGTATCAGCCATTGGATTGAGGTTCTGGGTTTGAGCCTGCCACTTTTGGACTCTCGCTTGCTGAGGTGTTCCAGCGAGTGTCTCTGTAGATCTTAGAAAACTATTTCTAGATTTAAGTCGTTGACGTGCTGGCTGATACCAAAACAAGGGATGAGCTGGAGATGTCTCTGCCTTGGTCCTTTCACTATTGGCTGCTACTTCCCGGCGGATGTCAGGTGGTGCAATACCGGCTAAGCAGTGTAATTTCTCCAGTGGTGTAGGGCGCAGACACCCCGTGATAATGCGGCATGTCTCATTAAGAGCCACGTCCACTGTTTTAGCGTGGTGAGATGTGTTCCACACTGGGCATGCATACTCAGCAGCAGAGTAGCATAGCGCAAGGGCAGATGTCTTCACTGTGTCTGGTTGTGATCCCCAGGTTGTGCCAGTCAGCTTTCGTATGATATTGTTTCTAGCGCCCACTTTTTGCTTGATGTTCAGGCAATGCTTCTTGTAGGTAAGAGCACGGTCCAGAGTGACTCCCAGGTCACTCTGGGAGTCATCCTGGACAGCTTGGGAGTGATCCTGGACTCATCGCTGAGCCTGGAACCCCAGGTCTCAGCGGTGGCCAGGAGAGCTTTTGCGCAATTAAAACTTGTGCACCAGTTGCGCCCGTACCTCAGGAAGTCTGATCTGGCCACAGTGGTCCACGCTCTTGTTACATCCCGTTTAGACTACTGCAACGTGCTCTACGTGGGGTTGCCCTTGAAGACTGTTCGGAAACTTCAATTGGTCCAGCGATCAGCAGCCAGAATGCTCACCGGGGCGACATACAGGGAGCATACCACCCCCCTGCTGTGTCAGCTCCACTGGCTGCCGGTTCAATTCCGAGCACAATTCAAGGTGCTGGTTTTGACCTACAAAACCCTTTATGGTTCCAGTCCAGTGTATCTGTCCGAACGTATCTCCCTCTACGTCCCACCCTGAAATTTGAGATCATCCGGGGTGGCCCTGCTCCCGACTCCACCGCTATCGCAAGCGAGGCTGGTGGGGACGAGGGGCAGGGCCTTCTCGGTGGTGGCCCCTCACTTGTGGAACTTATTCCCGGGGGAAATCAGGGCATCAACATCCCTCCTCTCCTTCAGGAGGAAGGTAAAGACATGGTTGTGGGACCAGGCCTTTGGGCAACCTGACAATTAGATATGGAAACCAGATGGATAGGACTGAAAGGACTAACAATTGTGGAATTGGAATTTAACTATTAGATTGTGAAACGCTGACCGTCAAGGAGGTTTGTATGGATTTTTATTGCTTTTATTGGTTTTATGGTTGTTTTTACCTATAATAATTATTGTCTTATGGTAATTGCTGTTATTGATAGAATTGTTGTTGTTAAATGATGTTATTGTCTTTTGCTGTTATGTGATTCGGGCATCGAATTGTGCCTCGCTTTTGTAAGCCGCCCTGAGTCCCCCCCGGGGTGAGAAGGGCAGGGTAGAAGCAACCGAAATAAATAAATAAATAAAATTTGGGTGCGCTGCAATGCTCCAGTGGGATTCCTTCCCAGGTGATCCTCAGAGCTCGGGATGCTTCTCTGTTCTTGAGATGAAAGGCACATGTCTTTGTTTTGGATGGGTTGGGGATCAGCTGGTTTTCCCTGTAATAGGCAGTAAGAGCACCTAGAGCTTCGGAGAGCTTCTGTTCAACCATCTCAAAGCTCCCTGCTTGAGCGGTGATGGCACGATCATCAGCATAGATGAAACTCTCTGTCCCTTCTGGCAGTGGCTGGTCATTTGTGTAGATGTTGAACATGGATGGAGCAAGCACGCTCCCCTGAGGCAGGCCGTTCTTCTGTTTCCGCCATCTGCTTCTCTGGCCCTGGATCTCAACAAAAAAGCTCCTGTTTTGTAGCAGGTTTCCTATGAGGCGGGTGAGGTGGTAGTCCTTTGTGATATTATACATTTTTCTCAGGAGGAGGAGGTGGTTGACAGTATCATAGGCCGCTGACAGGTCTATGAAGACAGCTCCTGTGATCTGCTGACTTTCAAAACCATCTTCTATGTGCTGAGTCAGGTTCAGCACTTGCGATGTGCAGCTTTATATTTATATTTTTTATATTTTTATTTTATATTACATATTATTGAATATAATATATTATATATTATTTTATGTTATATTGTATTGAATATATAATATAATATAATATAATATAATATAATATAATATAATAATTCTGCCATGCTGCAGGAAGTCCCACCTCCTTTTCCAGCCTTTTTATCAATGGTTTCCTCTGGTGTTGATTCCTTCCATGCAGGGGCTTGAAGTTCATCCAGGTTTTGCTGCAAAGCCTTTGTGATGGCGAACGAGATGAAGAGCATCCCAACCATATCCGGGTCAACGCCACCAAAGCCTATGAGATCGCTTTGAGGAAATACCACGGCTGGGTCCTGCAGAAGCTATTCCTGGTGGGTCTGTTGCCGGGCGGAAGAAGCGCCCCCGGAGACAGGAAATATTAGGAGCAAATATTAGAAGGAAATATTGGAAGAAAATAAATAAAATATTAGGAGAAAATATTAGAAGGAAATAACACAAGGAAATATTAGGAGAAAATATTGGAAATAAATAGAACAGTAGAAGAAAAAAAAAGAAAACATTTAAAGAAAATAAAAAAAATAATATTAGAAGAAAATGTTAAAATATTAAAGTAAAATATTAGAAAAAATAAAATAATATCTATTTATTTATTTAGAACTTTTATATCCCGTTCTTCTCTACCTCCAATGACTAACAGCAAAAATTCAATGCTAAACAATAAATAACAATGCCACCAAAGCCTATGAGATCGCTTTGAGGAAATACCACGGCTGGGTCCTGCAGAAGCTATTCCTGGTGGGTCTGTTGCCGGGCGGAAGAAGCGCCCCCGGAGACAGGAAATATTAGGAGCACATATTAGAAGGAAATATTGGAAGAAAATAAATAAAATATTAGGAGAAAATATTAGAAGGAAATAACAGAAGGATATATTAGGAGAAAATATTGGAAATAAATAGAATAGTAGAATAAAAAAAGAAAACATTTAAAGAAAATAAAAAAATAATATTAGAAGAAAATGTTAAAATATTAAAGTAAAATATTAGAAAAAATAAAATAATATCTATTTATTTATTTAGAACTTTTATATCCCGTTCTTCTCTACCTCCAACGACTAACAGCAAAAATTCAATGCTAAACAATAAATAACAATGCCACCAAAGCCTATGAGATCGCTTTGAGGAAATACCACGGCTGGGTCCTGCAGAAGCTATTCCTGGTGGGTCTGTTGCCGGGCGGAAGAAGCGCCCCCGGAGACAGGAAATATTAGGAGCAAATATTAGAAGGAAATATTGGAAGAAAATAAATAAAATATTAGGAGAAAATATTAGAAGGAAATAACACAAGGAAATATTAGGAGAAAATATTGGAAATAAATAGAACAGTAGAAGAAGAAAAAAGAAAACATTTAAAGAAATAAAAAAAATAAAATTAGAAGAAAATGTTAAAATATTAAAGTAAAATATTAGAAAAAATAAAATAATATCTATTTATTTATATAGAACTTTTATATCCCATTCTTCTCTACCTCCAACGGCTAACAGCAAAAATTCAATGCTAAACAATAAATAACATTTTAAAACAACAAATATAAAACAATAGCTTAAAAATACATATAAGTTAAAATACATATAAAACCATTTGCCAAGTTAAAAACATCGTCCAACTCAGTGTGGTCCAATAACTTTTAGTCTTTACCAGAAAATATGAGAAGAAAATTTAAAAAAATATATTAGAAGGAAATAATGGAAAGAAATATTGGAAGAAAATATTTAAAAAAGAAATAATAGGAAATATTATAAGCTCTTCCTCGTCGCTGGGCAGAAAAAAGGGCTCTGGAGATAGGAAATATTAGGAAGAAAAATTGGAAGGCAACCTTGGGAGAAAATAATAGAAATAAATAAATAACATATTAAAAAAAATATTGGAAGAAAACATTACAATAAAATATTAGGAGAAAATAATATATCGGAAGAAAATATTAGAAGGAAATAATAGGAGATATTGGAAGAAAATAATGGAAGGAAATATTACAAGAAAATATTAAAAAGGAAATAATAGGAAATATTATAAGCTCTTCCTGGTCAGGCTCTTCCTGGTCGCTGGCAGAAAAAAGGGCTCTGGAGACAGGAAATATTAGGAAGAAAAATTGGAAGGCAACCTTGGGAGAAAATAATAGAAATAAATAAGTAACATATTAGAAAAAATATTGGAAGAAAACATTACAATAAAATATTAGGAGAAAATAATATATCGGAAGAAAATATTAGAAGGAAATAATAGGTGATATTAGAAGAAAATAATGGAAGGAAATATTGCAAGAAAATATTAAAATAAAATAGAAGAGTACAAGAAAATATTAAATATTGGAAGGAAGTATTAGAAGAAAATATTGGAAGGAAATTTTGGAAGAAAAGAAAAGAAAATATTAGGAGAAATTATAAGAAAAAATAAAATATTAAAATAAAATATTATAAGAAAAGAAAATATGCTCTCGGTCCCGCCACTTTCGCAATTGCGTGTGGTGGGAACGAGAGACAGGGCCTTTTCCGTGGTGGCCCCTTGGCTATGGAACTCTCTCCAGAATGAGATCAAATCTGCCCCTTCCCTCCTGACCTTCAGGAAGCTAGTGAAATCCTGGCTATGGAACAAAGCATTCCCAGAATAATGGCTGAGACCAGCAATAGGCTAAAGTTACTGACAACATATGCGGACTGAGTTGGACATAATTTTACCTTGGCAAACTGGTTTATAGGTATTTTAATGTATTTTAATCTATTGGTGTTGTATGATGTTTTAGACTGTATTGTTAGCATTGAATCCTTGCTGCTAGCCGGTCTGAGTCCCTCCATGGAGGTAGAGAAGATCGGGATACAAAAGTTTTAAATAATAAATAAATAAAATATTGGAAGGATATAATAGAAAGATAATATTAGAAGGAAATATTGGAAGAAAATATTAGAAGCTCTTCCTGGTTAGTGTCTGCCTGTTGCCGGGTGGAAAAAGGACCCCCGGAGACAGGAAATCTATATACGGTAAATAAAAATGTAATGTTCGTTTGTGGGATTGACAGAACTCAAAAACCACTGGACGAATTGACACCAAATTTGGACACAAGATACCTAACAACCCAATGTATGTCCTTCACTCAAAAAAATGATTTTGTCATTTGGGAGTTGTAGTTGCTGGGATTTATAGTTCACCTACAATCAAAGAGCATTCTGAACCCCACCAACGATGGAATTGAACCAAACTTGGCACACAGTTCTCCCATGACCAGCAGAAAATACTAGAAGGATTTGGTGGGCAGTGTCCTTTGGTTTTGGAGTTATAGTTCACCTACATCCAGAGATCACTGTGGACTCAAACAATGATGGATCTGGACCAAACTCTACACGAATACTCAATATGCCCAAATGTGAACACTGGTGGAGTTTGGGGAAAATAGAATCTTGACATTTGGGAGTTGTAGTTGCTGGGATTTATAGTTTATCTACAATCACAGAGCATTCTGAATCCCACCAATGATAGAATTGGGCCAAACCTCCCACACACAACCCCCATGTGGGACACAGCAACACATGGCAGGGGATGGCTAGTATCTATATAAATAAAAATGTAATGTTCGTTTGTGGGGTTAACATAACTCAAATACCACTGGATGAATTGACACCAAATTTGGGCACAATAACACCGAAAAACACCACAGAAGAAATTTAAAAAGCCCAAAAATAAAATAAAAATATTTATTTATTTATTTAAAAGTTTTGTATACCGGCCTTCTCACCTCTCTTGAGGGACTCAGACCGGTTTCCAACCATAATATCACATACAATCAATAAAACATCATAATACATATTACAGTAAAACATTACAACAGCAATTACAATCAATAACTACAATGGTCAGTCGTCACACTAAAATCGTTGTTCATCATCCTCCATCCATATCTCAGAGTGTTGGCTCACTCGTCGAATGCCTGTCTCCATAACCAAGTCTTCACCTGTTTCCTAAATGTCAGGATAGACGGGGCGGTTCTGATCTCCAGTGGGAGAGAGTTCCAGAGTCGAGGGGCCACCACCGAGAAGGCCCTGTCCCTCGTCCCCACCAGACGCGCTTGCGAGACCGGTGGGAATACATTACAACGCATGTGCAAAACCACATATATACGCAAACACACGCACATATATACACAAATATGTACACACAGATATACCCATATATTCACACACATATATACACACAGAGCAATGTGTGGCAGCGGACGGCTAGTTAGAAAATATTCAGAGAAAATAATAGAAGGAAATAAATAAAATATTAGAAGAAAATAAAAATAATATTGGAAGAAAATATTAGCAGAACATAGGAAAAGGAAATAATAGGAAATATTAGCAGAAAATATTGGAAGGAAATAATAGAAGGAAATAATGCAGCGTTTCTCAACCTGGGGGTCGGGACCCTTGGGAAGGTCACAAGGGGGTCTCAGAGGGGTTGCCAAAGACCATCAGAAAACAGACTGCAAATCCTCCCACCAAAAGCTCTCCTCCGCTGTGATTGGCCAGCTTCTCAGCCAAGGGGAGGGCTGTTTCTGAGACTCCAAGCGGGGAGAGGCGGGCAGGCGTGCTCGATGCATGGCAACATGGTGCGCATGTGTGGGTGAGGGAGAGCGTGTGAGGTTGGAGGGAGGTTTGCACCAGTGAGTCCCGTCATGGGGGTTCCGTGTGGGACATTTGGCCCAATTCTATCGTTGGTGGGGTTCAGAATGCTATACGAACTATAAATCCCAGCCACTACAACTCCCAAATGTCAAGGTCTATTTCTCCCAAACTCCACCAGTGTTCACATTTGGCCATATTGAGGATTCGTGCCAAGTTTGGTCCAGATCCATCATTGTTTGAGTCCACAGTGCTCAAGCTGGATGTAGATGAACTACAACCAGGGGTGGCTCAACCCATTACTCAAAGTAAGCATTTGCAGTATAGTTGATTTTGCCCAGGGGCACTCTTGGGGGAAAATAGACCTTGACGTATGCGAGTTGTAGTTACTGGGATGTATAGTTCACCTATAACACTGTTCTACAAATTTTCAGTTTTTCTCAGTTGCGGAAACGAAATGTGCCGTTTCTTAATAAATTTAACATGCTGAATTCAAATATAATAATTAAATGTGTTAATTGGCTCTGGTTTTTATGCAACAGCTATTTCAATTTTCTCCACAATAGGTAATTCGTTAATATTATGATAATGCGCCTAACCTTACTGCATGTATATAAACCGTGAATATTTACTAAATTTTAGTCAAATTATATTGCCAATAGTTTATACATGAGAAATATTGATTTAATTAGTCTATTGTTTATGTTTGTGCAGCAAGAAACTCTATTAGTAGGCCTAATGCAGTTGAAAAGTCTGAAAGTTTAAATGTCGCTTTAATCGTGACTTTAGTTTATATCCTGTTTGCTTCTCTTGACTTTTCTTTTGTATTCAAGGAAAGGATTGTCTCTTACAATGCTCCAGCAGGAGTCTGACAGCATTGACGGAGTCCATTTGCCTTGATATCTTTTTTCCATAGTGCTTTATTTACACACGTGCAAGGCATAACTACAGTAAAAAGAACAATGTAAAACAATGTTTAACAATACTGTCTCAGTCTTCAACTGACTGACCCTCACCGTTCAAAAGTCTGGCCTTATATAGGGCTTTCTGGCTTTTGCACACGGCACTAATACTGCGTCATCAAACTTTCTAGAATATTCTAGAATCTTCCATAGTGTAAGTCGCAACATGCATTTTTTCAACCATACGTGATCACGTGATTGCTTATATCATAAAAACTAGAGCCAATATACATTTTTAAATGTCATTTTCGTTTTCAGCACCCCAAAATTATAAAAGAACAACTATTTTCAGGCCCGCAACTTTTTCTCCATTGAACAGTGTTAATCAAAGAGCATTCTGAACTCCACCAATGATGGAATTGAACCAAATATGGCACACAGAACTCCCATGACGAACAGAAAATATATATCAGTGATTTGTTGGGGGGGGGGTGTCGCCAAAATACTGTTTGCTTACCATTGAAAATAACCTAGGGCCGCCTCTGACTACAACTCCTAAACTCAAGGTCAATGCCCACCAAACTCTTCCAGCATTTTCTGTTGGGTCGTGGGAGTTCAGTGTGCCAAGTTTGGTTCAATTTCATCGTTGGTGGAGTTCAGCATGCCCTTTGATGGTAGTTGAACTATAAATCCCAGCAACTACAACTCCCAAATGACAAAATCAACCCCCCTGCAAACCCCACCAGTGTTCAAATTTGGGTGTATCGGGTACTTGTGCCAAATTTGGCCCAGTGAATAGAAATACAGAAATATTTACATGATGATTCTTAACAAGAAAGGAGATTCCATCTGAACATGAGGAAGAACTTCCTGACTGTGAGTGCCATTCAGCAGTGGAACTCTCTGCCCCGGAGTGTGGTGGAGGCTCCTTCTTTGGAGGCTTTTAAACAGAGGCTGGATGGCCATCTGTCAGGGGTGCTTTGAATGCAATATTCCTGCTTCTTGGCAGGGGGTTGGACTGGATGGCCCATGAGGTCTCTTCCAACTCTTTGATTCTAGGATTCTATGATTCTAGGTGCAAAATTCCAGTTGTGAAGTAGCAACAAAAATAATGTTATGGTTGGGGGGTCACCACAACATGAGGAACTATATGAAGGGGTTGCAGCATTAGGGGGGTTGAGAAACACTGTGATAATGGAAGAAAATATTGGAAAGAAATATTAAATATTGGAAGAAAATAATAGAATAGAATAATAGGATAATTTATTGTAATATTTGTATTTTTTCTATATTTTTCTATATTATTTTTATTATTATTTTCCCGCTGCTACACCCAGGGCTCGGTCTATGCACTTCCTTACAAGTCGGACTTATTGAAAGCCTTGGAAAAAGGCAAGGAAGTGAAAGAAGAGGAAACGCTAGAGAAGATTCACCAGTTCCTCTCGAAAGCAACTCCCATCCTGGATGCCATTTACGACATGTACACCAAGATGAACGCTGAGCTCAACTATAAAGCTTGAAAAACAAATATTATAATATTATATAATGACATAATATATTTTAGATAATATATTATATATTATATAATGTTATATTATATATTTCAGATAATATATTCTTTTTCTACCTCTGATCTTCTAGGAATTTATTATATTATTATTAATACTATATTTAATATATTAATATTTAATATAATACATTAATAATAATATTAATATATAGATAATATATTATTAATATTTTAAATATTTTCTTCTTCTTTTTCTACCTCTGATCTTCTAGGGCTTTATTATATTATTGCAATGGTGTTCTATTATTATTACTACATTACATTTATTATTATTATTGTTGTTATTATTGAATAATTTGGTTAGATTAGATGACCTTTGGGTTTCCCTATGAGAATAATAATAATAATAGTAATAATAATAATGCATTGTTTTATTTATATATTAGATAATATAGTATTAATATTTTAATATTTTCTTCTTTTTTCTACCTCTGATCTTCTAGGAATTTTTCTATATATATTTTTATTATATAAAGCATTAATAATAATAATAATAATGTATATTATTGATTTTTTCTTCTTTTCCTACCTCTGATCTTTTATGATTTTTTTCTATATTATTATTATTATTATTATTATTATTATTATTATTATTGGCTAAGCTTTGGCTTTTGGGTGGGACTAGATGACCCTATATGATTCTTAAAAGGGATATTCAATAATAATAAAGATAATAATAATAATAAATACTTTATTGACTTTAAAGGGTCTGTATTTTGGGTTTTAATCTGAATTTTATTATAAATAATAATAATAACATCATCAACAATATATATATATAGACTGAATCTTTAAACTGAAATCATGGGATAAAATAATAATTTTAATAGTAATAATGGTAATTGTTTTGAACCTTTAATAATTATTAAATAAAGAAATAAATTATTATTGTTGTTCATGGAAAAATAATACATAATATATATTGTTGTTCATGGAAAATAATAATAATAATAATAATAATAATAATAATAATAATAATAAATGAATTGAACCTTCAATAATGTATTATTATTATTTAAACTGAAATCATGGAAAAAATACTACATTTTAATAATAATAATAATAATAATAAATGTATTGAAATGTATTGAACCATTATTATTATTATTATTTTAAGTTTTAAAAAATCTAAACCACTGGATGCCTTAAATATATATATATATATATATATATATATATATATATATATATATATATATGAGATATTTATTATTGATAATAATGTAATTAAGATGGAAATAAAAAAGTCTTCCCAAAGTGCCTTTGTAGTTCTTTACATGTAATTTATTTATAAACCTTTTCCTTGACTTATTATTTTTAAATATATAATTTTATATTCCACGGTCATATTGGGATTTTACGCCACAGAAAAACACTTTAGAGCTCAGGCTAATTTATGCTTCCATTTATTATTACAAATAATTCTGTTCTAATGTACACAGTTGGGCATGCTGGGTCTGCATGCCGAGTTTGGTCCAGATCCATCATTGGCTGGGTTCAGGGCTCTCTGGATAAGGGTGAACAACTCCCAAAATCAAGGTCCATCCCCACAAACCCCTGCAATACGTTCAGTTGGTCACTGGGATTCTCTATACCAAGTCCATTGTCGGTGGGTATCACAGTTTCACTCGATGCAGGTGAACTATAACTCCCATCAAGGTCAATTTACCCCGAACCTCTCCAGTATGTTCTCTTGGTCATGGGGAGTCTGTGTGCCAAGTTTGGTCCAGGCTCATCATTTGTGTGTGTCTCAGTAGTCTGTTGAAGTTGGAGCTGAATTGGGTGGAGGTACTGCAAATCCCATAGTCCGTGGTCCATCCTTCCTCAAACTGCACCAGAACATAAAGTGGGTCATGGAGAGACTGTGTGGCAAGTTTAGTCCGGGTCCGTCATTTGTGGGGGTCGCAGTGGTCTCTAGAAGTGAGTGAAGGTACTGCAAATCCCATCATGGTCCAGATCCATCATTGGTTGGTTTTTGTTAGTTTTTTTATTTACATACATTAACAACTTACAGTGTAAACAAGACACAAAACGGAGCATTTTACAAATACATAGCCCCACCACCAAGACCTTAACAAGTATTCTGGGCACCACAATTCAAGAGAGATATTGACAAGCTGGAATGTGTCCAGAGGAGGGCGACTAAAATGATCAAGGGTCTGGAGAACAAGCCCTATGAGGAGTGGCTTAAGGAGCTGGGCATGTTTAGCCTGAAGAAGAGAAGGCTGAGAGGAGATATGATAGCTATGTATAAATATGTGAGAGGAGGCCACAGGGAGGAGGGAGCAAGCTTGTTTTCTGTTTCCCTGGAGACTAGGGAACAATGGCTTCAAACTACAAGAAAGATCTTGACAGATTAGAGAGATGGGCCAAAACTAACAAAATGAAGTTCAACAGTGACAAATGCAAGATACTCCACTTAGGCAGAAAAAAAACGAAATGCAAAGATACAGAATGGGGGACAATGCCTGGCTCGAGAGCAGTACGTGTGAAAAAGATCTTGGAGTCCTCGTGGACAACAAGTTAAACATGAGCCAACAATGTGATGTGGCGGCAAAAAAAGCCAATGGGATTTTGGCCTGCATCAATAGGAGCATAGTGTCTAGATCTAGGGAAGTCATGCTACCCTTCTATTCTGCTTTGGTTAGACCACACCTGGAATATTGTGTCCAATTCTGGGCACCACAATTCAAGAGAGATATTGACAAGCTGGAATGTGTCCAGAGGAGGGCGACTAAAATGATCAAGGGTCTGGAGAACAAGCCCTATGAGGAGCGGCTTAAGGAGCTGGGCATGTTTAGTCTGAAAAAGAGAAGGCTGAGAGGAGATATGATAGCCATGTATAAATATGTGAGAGGAAGCCACAGGGAGGAGGGAGCAAGCTTGTTTTCTGCTTCCCTGGAGACTAGGACGCGGAACAATGGCTTCAAACTACAAGAGAGGAGAGTCCATCTGAACATGAGGAAGAACTTCCTGACTGTGAGAGCCGTTCAGCAGTGGAACTCTCTGCCCCGGAGTGTGGTGGAGGCTCCTTCTTTGGAAGCTTTTAAACAGAGGCTTGATGGCCATCTGTCAGGGGTGATTTGAATGCAATATTCCTGCTTCTTGGCAGGGGGTTGGACTGGATGGCCCATGAGGTCTCTTCCAACTCTTTGACTCTATAATTCTATGACTCTATGACCCTTTCCTTCGCCATATAAGTCAACCATTAATCAAATGTCATATCCAAAATTCCTGACTAACACGGTTATATTGTTTTCCATTTTCTCTATCTAAAGGATATTTAATAAAAGCCGATCAGTATGCATCAAAATCTGACCCCGAATAACCTAGCTTCCATACTTTCGATACTATCGACCATGGTATCCTTCTGGGCCAGCTCTCTGGGATGCACGTGTCTTGGGGGCACAGCTCTGTCGTGGCTCCGGTCCTTCCTGGAGGGTCATTTCCAGATGGTGAAGCTGGGGGACCCCTGCTCGGACCCCTGGCCTTTGACCTGTGAGGTCCCGCAAGATTCCATTCTGTCCCCCATGCTTTTCAACATCTACATGAAACCACTGGGAGAGGTCATCTGAAGTTTTGGAGTGCGGTGCCACCTCTACGCAGATGACGCCCAACTCTACTACTCCTTTCCACCTAATTCCAAGGAAGACCTCGGATACTGGACGAGTACCTGGCTGCTGTGACTGTCTGGATGAAGACGAAGAAGCTGAGGATCAACCCTGACAAGACAGAGGTCCTCCAGGTCATTTGCAGGCCGGATTGAGGTATAGGGTGGCAACCTGTGCTTGACGGGCTTGCACTCCCCCTGAAGTCACAGGTCAGCAGTTTGGGTGTCCTCTTGGATTCATTGCTTAACACTTTATTTATTTATTTATTTATTTATTTATTTACGACATTTATATGCCGCCCTTCTCACCCCGAAGGGGACTCAGAGCGGCTTACAAGGTATATATACATACAATATATTATTAACATAGTACAATATCAGTTTTAAATATTGCTATATTGCACTATATCAATTATACTGTAATATTATTAGTAATATTACATGTAATATAAATATATAATTATAATATCATATTATTATTAGTAGTAGTATATTGCATTACATTACAATATAAATATTATATGTATACACAATATATTATATATTATATTATAACATTATTAGAATAGCACAGGAGACAAGGTGGAACTGCACTTGAAGCTCAGGCGTCAGCGGTGGCTGGGAGGGCCTTTGCACAACTGAAGCTCGTGCGCTGGCTGTGACCGTACCTCGTGAAGTCGGATTTGGCCTTGATGGTCCACGCCTTAGTTACCTCTAGTTTGGACTATTACAATGCACTCTTCGTGGGGCTGCCCTTGAAGACGGCCCGGAAATTCCAATTGGTCCAACGAGCAGCAGTCACTCTACTAACTGGTGCAAATTACAGGGAGCGGTCAACCCTGCTGTTTAAGGAGCTCCATTGGCTGCCATTTATTTTCTGGTCCCAATTCAAGGTGCAGGTTCTTACCTACAAAGCCCTAAACGGTTCAAGACCTGCCTACTGACGTGACCGCATTTCTGTCTACGAACCTACACGATCTCTTCAATCTTCTGGAGAGGCCCATCTCTCGCTCCCACCCCCATGGCAAGTGTGTTTTGTGGTGATGAGGGAGAGGGCCTTCTCTATAGTGGAAACTGTGGAGCACGTTTTGTTGTACTGCTCTTTTTACCGTGACCTTCGTAAACATTTTATAAATCCAATTTTAGAAAGTCTACCAGGGAGATCTGTAAGGTTTTATATAGATTATCTCTTGTCTGACCAACACCCCAAGGTCACTGTCAGGGTTGCTAGCTTCTGTGCAGCAGCAATGGCTTGTCGCCGCAAGATGCTGACACAATCTTAGAAAGTTTTAATATATATTTTGGTTTTTATCATTTATTTATTTGTTTGTTTGTTTGTTATTCGAACTTATATGCCACCATTCCCCTGGGGCTCGGAGCGGCTTACAAGAATGGCTAAAATCTAACACAATTTAAAAACAATTTAAAGCAATTTAAAAACAGCAATATCACAATATCACAAATCAAAG